TGTATAATGTTATGAGATTTAAGATATTTAGTCTAATAAACATTTATGTTTTCATGTTATAATTTGTTGTCATTCTAGAATGAGAGGGGCATAATTTATATTTATTTCCTAATTTTTTATGGTGGTTAAGAAATCGGTCAAATCTACCAGTTTTTCTGATGCATGATTACCTTGCATGATAGATAGGCAACATACGAAAAGAAAAAAAAAAGGCATGAGAAAAACATTGCTTTACAAACCTTAAGACTTAATCAAAAAAATATGATATTTTGCGTATGAAAGCATTGCAACGTTTACTGACAAATTACCAAATTTCGTTAACATTTGCTTACTAATTTAAAAGTTATAGCATGAAAACTATAACAAGCACAGAATGGTTATGAGGTCAGTCCCAGGGACCGAGCCCGTGCTTAAAGAGTTAAAGATTTCTTTAAAGAGCTGTATTAGAAATGATATTCTGACCTCATAGAATATCACAAAGGTGCTATTGACTACTATGAGTGTAAAAGCTACAAAGTGCATTTTTGTTTTCTGTAATTGAGTACCTGTACCATTTCATTTGCATTCGAGAGTTTAAGTAATGCAGTAGAACAACAATTCTTTGACAGTTTTAAAATTTAAACTTTTAGCATATTTACTTTGGAATCAAGAAGTCAGTTTGATTGTAAATTCTGTTTAGTATATTAATCTTCACTCCAATGCTGTGTTTTAATGTGTGTCAAACATATATCTGTATGTATATGAACTAACATACCTGGATGGCTGCATTCTGCCTCAAGGGGAAAATGTATCATTAAATTTAAAAAAATTATAGAAAAGAAACTTATTGTTATTGTTCTTCCACACATTAAAAGAAAAAATATTTCAGATTTCACACATTAAGAGAAAAATACCTCAGGCTTTAAATTTATTCAATAAAAGTTTTATATATTTAATTTTACACTTAAAAATTGTCTTATATTTGATTTTGGGATTCTTTAATTGTTCTCTAAATGAAATCATTAGTGTTTATGAATTTCCTGATTTTTTATTTTTTTCTGAGCATAATACATCACTTGTAGTCCTCTAGAAGGAAAATCATTATAGGTTTTTTAGCAAATAGTGCTAATTTGACCTTATAACTTGAATACAAGTGTAGTTTTAACGATTTGTAACCAATCACTTTCTCAAGATTGGTTGTCATGGTGTGATATAATTTCTTTACCTCAGCTTCAAGAAACCACAGGCTTGTGGTTTAAACACTTAATGGATTTTCTGTTTTATTTGCAACCATATGAACTGATATGGTTTTCAGTTCAGCAGAGAAATTGGAAGAAAGTGATAAAAGCTTAGCTTGAAGATATATTGATAGAAGAAAAGATGTTCTGCTATAGTTACAGTTCTGATGTTTTTAAAGCTTTCAAAAAGCTTACTTTACCATTTTATACTTATTTAAATTATAGTATTGCAGTATGAGAGGAAAAGAAATGTATTTTGGGATAAAAGGTGAAGAAAACTTAGTTGAATCATTTTGCACTTGACAGTATAAAGATCTGTTTTTTTCAAACAAGGCTGCTACTTTAGGCCTTGTTTAGATTGAGCCTTATCAGCCTAAATAACTGTTTCAATGGGCAAAGAAAATTACCCAAAATAAATGTAAAAAAATTTTTTTTTATCACGTATATTAAATTAATCCTTCAGATTAACACTTAAAAAACTCAGCTTGTAAACACATTGAAACTGCATGTTGTTTTTGATTGAAAACAAAGCTAAAAATTCAGTAATTAAAATCTTCAACAAAAGTGAGCTACAATGAACCATATAACAGGTGTATCAACTCAATTCCCACAAGTCTGACAGAACTAAACTTCATTGGATAACTGTTCTCGGATTATGTTTTTATAAGTTTTTAACTTGTCCTTTTTTTTAATTTTGCAAATGTAATTACTTAGGTATATGTAAATATTCTAGATAATTCCATAAACAATGAAATAAATTTAAACCAAACCCAAAGTACAAATATTTGAAAAGATATTACTAACATCACTGTTATTATGCTGAAATTAAATGCAAGTTTGTTTTAGTGCATTCTAACTGAGTAATGTCATATTTGAGAGTAATGTGTTAGATATAATTTATATTTTTATTCTTGTTTTTTCCTCAACAGAGTGAAACAGAAGAAAGCAAGTTAAAGTGCCATTACTTTACAAACAATCATCCATACTTTCTGTTACAGCCTTTAAAGGAGGAGGAAGTGTTTTTAAAACCACGGATTGTCATGTATCATGATGTCTTGTCAAATAAAGAAATTGAAGTTGTAAAAATTCTTGCTGCTCCTCGGGTAAGAAACGGCTGCAAATACGATATAATAAAATTTATTATAAGGTGTCTCTTACATTTGAGTGGTTAATTGAAAAACATTCATTTTCAGTGTAAAAAATTTAATTTATTTATGTTACATCATTTAATTATAACACCTAATCAGGCATGAGAAAAGTCTTAAGTAATTCAAACAGAGTCTTAGTTTAGTGCATTTTTAGCATAGTATCGTAATGAATTATTAAACATAATATATTTAAAAAAACTTGTATGTATAAAAAATAAATTCATTGGGTTTCCAAAAATGAATCAAAATTAGAGGCATTGTTACGACCTTAGCTTCAATTATCAGTTAAATCATATGTGAAATTTCTACATTTTCACAGTTGCTATTGCACATTTTTTGTATTTCAATCATATGATATGCAGAAACAAGAGCTACTGGCAAACTTCAGTGTTTCTTTCATTGTCAGTGAACAATATGTGTATGCATATGTGCCTAACACATGGGGCAGAATGGGCAAGGCCCATTATCCCCACTGGTTCTCAGGTAGTATACATACACAATTATTAACAACTATGTTAGATTAACGTAGATTGTTTTTTTTCTTCTCTCCCACTCTCCAACAACATTAGATAGTCATGTATGTGTTATATATATATATATCTCAAGTACCAAAGGTCCTAATATTTTTAAACTTATATGGTGAGAACTGTAAAATTTTGAGGATCAAGTTAATTTCTAGTTGTCTTGGCATCACCATGGAACT